TACACACAAGTGTAAGCATATATATCAGCTGGTGGTAAAAGGGTGTCATGAACCCACGTCACACAGCTCTCCGCACTCTACTCAAACATGTCAACCCCCCCCCCCCCTCCTACACACAATTGTAAGCATATATCGGCTGGTGGCAAAAGGATGAACATGCATCCACATCACCAGCTCTGTGCACTCTTCTCATACATGACAACCGCCCCCCCCCCCCCTCTACACACAAGTGCAAGCATGTATCAGCTGGTGGTAAAAGGGTGAACATTCACCAATGTCACACAGCTCTCTGCACTCTTCTCAGACATGACAAGACCCCCCCCCCCCTACACACAAGTGTAATCTTATTACAGCTGGTGGTAAAAGGATGAACATGCACCCACATCACACAGCTCTCTGCTCTCTTCTCAAACATGACAACCCCCCCCCCCTCTACACACAAGTGTAATATTATATCAGCTGGTGGTAAAAGGATGAACATGCATCCACGTCACACAGCTCTCTGCACTCTTCTCAAACAAGACACCCCCCCCCCCCCCCTCTACACACAAGTGTAATATCATATCAGCTGGTGGTAAAAGGGTGAACATGCACCTACGTCACACAGCTCTCTGCACTCTTCTCAGACATGACAAACCCCCCCCCCCCCCTCTACACACAAGTGTAATATCAATCAGCTGGTGGTAAAGGATGAACATGCACCCACGTCACACAGCTCTCTGCACCCTTCTCAAACATGACAAGAACCCCCCCCCCTACACTTAAGTGTAAGCATGTATTAGCTGGTGGTAAAAGGGTGAACATGCACCCACGTCACACAGCTTTCTGAACTCTTCTCAAACATGACAAGAACCCCCCCCCCCCCTACACACAAGTGTAAGCATGTATCAGCTGGTGGTAAAAGGATGAACATGCATCCACGTCACACAGTTCTCTGCACTCTTCTCAAACAGACAACCCCCCCCCCCCCTCTACACACAAGTGTATATCATATCAGCTGGTGGTAAAAGGGTGAACATGCACCCATGTCACACAGCTCTCCGCACTTTTCTCAAATATGAGAAACAACAACCTCCCCTCCTACACACAAGTGTAATCTTATTACAGCTGATGGTAAAAGGGTGAACATGCACCCACATCACACAGCTCTCTGCTCTCTTCTCAAACTTGACAACCCCCCCCCCCTACACACAAGTGTAAGCATGTATCAGCTGGTGGTAAAAGGGTGAACATGCACCCACGTCACACAGCTCTCTGGTCTCTTCTCAAACATGACAACCTCCCCCCCCCCCCCCTCTACACACAAGTGTAATATTATATCAGCTGGTGGTAAAAGGATGAACATGCATCCACGTCACACAGTTCTCTGCACTCTTCTCAAACAGACAACCCCCCCCCCCTCTACACACAAGTGTAATATCATATCAGCTGGTGGTAAAAGGGTGAACATGCACCCACGTCACACAGCTCTCCGCACTTTTCTCAAATATGAGAAACAACAACCTCCCCTCCTACACACAAGTGTAAGCATATATATCAGCTGGTGGTAAAAGGGTGTCATGAACCCACGTCACACAGCTCTCCGCACTCTACTCAAACATGTCAACCCCCCCCCCCCCTCCTACACACAATTGTAAGCATATATCGGCTGGTGGCAAAAGGATGAACATGCATCCACATCACCAGCTCTGTGCACTCTTCTCATACATGACAACCGCCCCCCCCCCCCCCCTCTACACACAAGTGCAAGCATGTATCAGCTGGTGGTAAAAGGGTGAACATTCACCAATGTCACACAGCTCTCTGCACTCTTCTCAGACATGACAAGAACCCCCCCCCCCCCCCTACACACAAGTGTAATCTTATTACAGCTGGTGGTAAAGGATGAACATGCACCCACATCACACAGCTCTCTGCTCTCTTCTCAAACATGACAACCCCCCCCCCCCCCTCTACACACAAGTGTAATATTATATCAGCTGGTGGTAAAAGGATGAACATGCATCCACGTCACACAGCTCTCTGCAATCTTCTCAAACAAGACAACCCCCCCCCCCCCCTCTACACACAAGTGTAATATCATATCAGCTGGTGGTAAAAGGGTGAACATGCACCCACGTCACACAGCTCTCCGCACTTTTCTCAAATATGAGAAACAACAACCTCCCCTCCTACACACAAGTGTAAGCATATATATCAGCTGGTGGTAAAAGGGTGAACATGCACCTACGTCACACAGCTCTCTGCACTCTTCTCAGACATGACAAACCCCCCCCCCCCCTCTACACACAAGTGTAATATCAATCAGCTGGTGGTAAAGGATGAACATGCACCCACGTCACACAGCTCTCTGCACCCTTCTCAAACATGACAAGAACCCCCCCCCCCCCTACACTTAAGTGTAAGCATGTATTAGCTGGTGGTAAAAGGGTGAACATGCACCCACGTCACACAGCTTTCTGAACTCTTCTCAAACATGACAAGAACCCCCCCCCCCCCCCCCCTACACACAAGTGTAAGCATGTATCAGCTGGTGGTAAAAGGATGAACATGCATCCACGTCACACAGTTCTCTGCACTCTTCTCAAACAAGACAACCCCCCCCCCCCCTCTACACACAAGTGTAATATCATATCAGCTGGTGGTAAAAGGGTGAACATGCACCCACGTCACACAGCTCTCCGCACTTTTCTCAAATATGAGAAACAACAACCTCCCCTCCTACACACAAGTGTAAGCATATATATCAGCTGGTGGTAAAAGGGTGAACATGCACCTACGTCACACAGCTCTCTGCACTCTTCTCAGACATGACAAACTCCCCCCCCCCCCCCTCTACACACAAGTGTAATATCAAATCAGCTGGTGGTAAAGGATGAACATGCACCCACGTCACACAGCTCTCTGCACCCTTCTCAAACATGACAAGAACCCCCCCCCCCCTACACTTAAGTGTAAGCATGTATTAGCTGGTGGTAAAAGGGTGAACATGCATCCACGTCACACAGCTCTCTGCACTCTTCTCAAACATGACAACCCCCCCCCCCCCTCTACACACAAGTGTAATATCGTATCAGCTGGTGGTAAAAGGGTGAACATGCACCAACGTCACACAGCTCTCCGCACTTTTCTCAAATATGAGAAACAACAACCTCCCCTCCTACACACAAGTGTAAGCATATATATCAGCTGGTGGTAAAAGGGTGAACATGCACCCACTTCACACAGCTCTCCGCACTTTTCTCAAATATGAGAAACAACAGCCTCCCCTCCTACACACAAGTGTAAGCATCTATATCAGCTGGTGGTAAAAGGGTGAACATGCACCTACGTCACACAGCTCTCTGCACTCTCTCAGACATGACAACCCCCCCCCCCCCCCCCCCCTCTACACACAAGTGTAATATCAAATCAGCTGGTGGTAAAGGATGAACATGCACCCACGTCACACAGCTCTCTGCACTCTTCTCAGACAACCCCCCCCCCAACTTCTTCACACAAGTGTAATTTTATATCAGCTGGTGGTAAAAGGGTGTACATGCACCCACCTCACACAGCTCTCTTCTCAAACATGACAACCCCCCCCCCCCCCTACACAAAAGTGTAATCTTATATCGCTGGTGGTAAAAGGATGAACATGCACCCACATCACACAGCTATTCTCAGACATGACAACCCCCCCCCCCCCCACTTCTTCACACAAGTGTAATCTTCAATCAGCTGGTGGTAAAAGGATGAACATGCATCCACATCACCAGCTCTCTGCACTCTTCTTAAACATGACAACCCCCCCCCCCTCCCCCTTCTACACACAAGTGTAATCTTCAATCAGCTGGTGGTTAAAGGGTGTATATGCACCCACGTCACACAGCTCTCTGCACTCTTCTCAAACATGACAACCCCCCCCCCCCCCCCACTTTTACACACAAGTGTAATCTTCAATCAGCTTGGGGTAAAAGGGTGAACATGCTCCCACATCACACAGCTCTCTGCTCTCTTCTCAAACATGACAACCCCCCCCCCCCCCCCTTCACACAAGTGTAATGTTATTACAGCTGGTGGTAAAAGGATGAACATGCACTAACGTCACACAGCTCTCTGGTCTCTTCTCAAACATGACATTTCCAACCACAATCTGTAATTGAATTGTGTTAAATGATACTATTGAAGACAATCTATAACTTCTCTTTAGGTAAAATGACAAAAAAATGGCATTTCAGACAATTTACTCAAAAACACTGCTCGAATGTCAGTGGTCCTGGTGGTTTGTGTCGATACAACGCACATTACGTATGTGCGGCTGTGAGTAAATTGTCCGAAATGCCATTTTTTTGTCATTTTACCTAAAGAGAAGTTATAGATTGTCTTCAATAGTATGATTTAACACAATTCCATTACAGATTGTGGTTGGAAATGGCAGTATTAAGTCACAATGAGCACGGTATCTCTCGATCGATGAATCATGTCAGGACATCTCGCCCCAGTCTTAGTTTGAGGCTGGGGCGAGATGTCCCGTGGGGCGAGTTAGCCCGGATTCGATTAAAATTAGTAAAAAATTAGTAAAAAATTGGGCTAAAATTCCTTTGCTAAGAATGGATATGAAACTGCTAAAAAAATGGATAGATAGTCTACGGAACTACACTAGACCTAGCGCCAATTTTAGTAGTGGGGTATTCTTAAGTTGTACTGCGAATTGCTTACCTTACACGGGTCCCTGATGACATTTAGTCAAGGTGCGATTTACATTACATTAACTGATTAGTGTCTGGTCTTGTCTACCAAGTATATCGAGCTGCAGCATGCATCGCCTCTAGGATCCAGCTAAGGGGATGAGACAAACCATTTGCGCCGAATCGCTCCGGTCAATATGTCGCGATATCCGCTCACTAATGCCGAACCTTCCTCTCGCTCTAACTCGAGCACATGTTTCACAAAATTCGAGATATAATAAAATCTGTTGTCGGCTCAAACGTACAAAAAAAGTATACACAGACACTAACCTTGTCCTTATCAGCTTTTACTGCTTTCAAGTGACGCACAATCTCGCCTTGCTTTTTAATACTCTCCTGAACTTCTTTCCTCTTTTCGTCTGCCATCTTGAACGTAGGATCTGATGCAATAATGCGCACCGCATGAATTGCATGCACAACATGTGCGCACATATACATACCGGTAATGTATTTTGGTTTTTCCATATTTTTTAAAATTATTTTTTAGTAATTTTGTTTAATTCCTCCAAATGCAATACAAACAAAAACAACCCGAGGCGTCCCACTTGGGGGCAGGGGGTGGGCACAGTGCCCCCCCCACTTTTTCAAGCACCCAAAAAGTGCCCCCTTTTTACTTTGACAAGTGCCCCTATTAATTTGTAAAAGTGCCCCTTCCCCTTTTCAACTCTAATAAATGCCCCTTTTCCTTCGACTAGTTCCCATTTTCCCGGGCCATTCATTCCTTTGCAATAAGTGTCCATTTTCCATTCGCATAAGTGCCGTCTAGTAAGTGCCCCTAATTAGGTACGAATATTGCTTTTTTCACTTTTGATAAGTGCCCCCTTCACCTCTGATAGCTGTCCTAATTAAATCTGAGAGGTGCCTCTGTTACTTTGACAACTGCCCCTTTTACTTTGTAAGAAGTGCCCCTTCCTCTTTTAATAACTACCCCCATTTTAACTCGGATAAGCGCACCTTATATTTTCATGTGTGCCCTTTTTCTTTTCTAATAAATGCCCCTTTTTCTAATGAAAAGTGCCCCATTGAAAAAGAGCCCCTTCCCCTTCTCATAAGTGCCCCTTCTCTGGTAAATAACCCGTTTTCAGGTACGAGAAGTTACTCCTTTTCATTTCAGATAAGTGCCCCCTTCACCTCCGAAAAATGCCCCTTTAAAATCTGATCGGTGCCCATTTTCTTTCAACTAATTATTTATTACAACTTAGTGCCCCTTTTTCATTCACATAAGTGCCCCTTGTCATATCTGGTCTTTTTACCTCTGATAATTTTCCTTTTAACAATGATACGTGCCCCTTTTCCTTTCTAATAAGGGACCTATCCCCTTTTCATAAATGCCCCTTTTCACCTCTTATAAATGCCGCTTTCAAGATCTGATGAAGGCTCCTTTTCCATCGACAAATGCCCATTTCCTATTTGTATGACTGACTTTTTTCATCCCTGGTGAGTGCCTCCTTTTGAGGGTGTAAGAAGTGCCCCATTTTCAATTTTTATATTTACTCTTTGTACTTTGGCACATGCTCCTTTTCTATTATGTCCCATTTTCCTCTCATCATTAAACGCTTGCACGCATCAAAGGTCTTTTCAGTCTTCCGTTATGAGTATATGCTTATAACCCCATTAGGATTGGGTTTTTTCCTCTTTATAAGATGTAATTTATCGCACTGCGACCTCACACATCTTAAAAAATTTCCTCGCTCGCAAACAATTTTTTAGACAATCAAACCCAAATGCAAAGCATGATGCTTAAGCAATATCTTGTATGGTGTAGAAAGTGAAACAAATATTGAAATCATCCCTGATAATTATAATCACAATGTATGTAGGGGTATATACCAATGTCTAAAAAATTGTATATTTTCGCTTTGAGATTTCCCTTTGTAGGTGCCCTTTTTTCTTCTTGGTGCCCCCCCCCCCCCCACTTTGGAATTCGCTTCGGCCGCCACTGAGAACAACATATACAATTTAATAAACTAAATAAACCTTTTCAATATTGATTGCTAATACATGAACATATTTTAAAAAAAAATCATTTGCAGTATAACTGAGCAACAAAGTAAAAGTACATAAACATAATTTATAAGTCGATTGTACATGTATGTATTATTATGCACTCTATATTTAAAAAAAAAAAAAAACTTTCAACAAATCTGGAGGTTATTTTACTGGTAGCGGAACAAAGTCCTGCTCCTCCCCCCCCCCCCCCACACACACACTACTCACTCAGTGGATGTGGGAGTGTCGTGGCCGAGTGGTTTAAGTCGCTTGACTGGAGATGCGGAGGTCGAGGGTTCGAATCCCAACACGGCACTAACATCCTTTGGCAAGATATTAAGCATATACGATCCTACAATATTCAGTGAACGGTTGTCGCGGTTGAAATAGAGTCTAAGTTATGAAATTGTAAATAATAAACTCTTTATGTTGTATAGCTCCTTCTCAAGGTGAATATATTAATTAAGCTATGAAACAATGTTTCTTGACTAAAATCGACCGATTAGCTATTCCCGTTTGGAAATTATATATCACAACTACATATTCTGAGATTTTCATGGTCGCAGCTACCATTGTACGGCCGTAGGCGTTATTTGAAATTTATCAAAATTTACCGGGAGCACCGGTAAATTTTTATATTCAATTTTTCTCGAAAGTAGAAGTGTTTTAAGGGCTAAATTTTCTAGTGCTTATAATATGTCCACAGGGGCATCCAAATATATCAAAATTATAAAGAATCACTATCCACCATATTTTCAAAATTTCCCAAAACTTTGTATTACCTTTAATAAACACTAAGCTGCTATAGCTCTCACTTTAGAAAATGTAATACCAGCTTTCCCATTTTAATGACAATTTTATTTTCCTCATCCCTATGATTAAAAATGGTTTTCCTCATCTTTTATCAAGTTGGTACTTGCCCCTCCCCCCCCCCCGATCTTGACATAAATATAACATACTTCACCATGAAAATTATAGTATTACAGATTATCACCAACAAAACCAATTCTATAAAGATGCTCATTAGTATATATAATATGGCTCCATGCCATAATCTAAATTGAAATTCTTGTTGTTTCAGTGGGGGTGGTTTTCTAATGAGTATAGTAATTCTTGGGCCTACAAATATTTCTTTTTATTCCATATCTATAAAATCATACTTATTTTGCCCATCCCTTACCTGCACATTATACGTTTGCAGTAGTACTTTTATAAAATAATTATAAATTGTTCTTGGACTCACATAAAAAAAAACGGTATTTTTAAACCTAAAATATAGAAATAAGTATTATAACTTAAAACATCATCCTCGAGGAATTGTATTTCGTATTAATCCTGAATCATCTTTCCATAACCTGAATATCGCATCATAATAAATATCAATATAGCAAAATATTACCTTTCATACCGAAGTTCATAAAATTGAACAGACTTAACATGAGCTTTTGAGGTTGTGGGAGGTTTAATGGGCAACTTCATTTTTATAATTTTACCCAATATTAATTCATTGTGTACAAATTATTTCCACCATTTTATGTATCGTATTATAATATGTTTATGCAAAGTAATCTACGTAATAGGCCTTACTCCCCTCACGTCACAGTGTTGCTTTATCATTTATTTATTCAATTAGTAATTATTTCATTGTGGTACCCCCGTGTCATATCTTTCAAACACAAATACAACCTGTTTGATAGGCCTATATACTGAAAGTAATCACAGTGATCTCAACTGCAGCCCCCTTCCCTTTAATTTCATTACCACAGTACATTTTTGTGCAAAGGTGTGTGTGTGTGTGCAGGCGCGTACGCAGGGGGGGGGGGGGGGGTTCGGGGTCGAACCCCTCCCTCAAATTTTTTTTGGGGTGTGTTTGGACGAACCCCCCCCCCCCTCATTTATTTATTTATTTTTGATTAAAGATACTATGTCGCTTTTGCAGCCAATCTCAAATTCTGTAGAACTTTGCAGGAATTATGAATATGTCATATATTATGTCCTATCTGTGAAATTTAAACTTAGCAGTGTCCTAATATTTAAATTCTGCAAGGAAACCCATTTACTTGCTAGACTTCACTGCCAGACCCTATTGTTAGTATTGAGTGACTGACTGGCTTTTTCTTCTTCTTTGGTAATAACATACATAAAATGAGCTGTAAAAGATTTGTCTACATCAATAACCCACTTATTGTAATGGCCAAAATTAAACTGATTGAATCTTTGCGCAGCATAAAACGAACGACCATGCGGTACAATGATCTGAAATTCAAGACTATTACTTATTGGCTCTATAGCTCCTAAGTCAATATGACAACTATTAGTCGTTATTTTCCCACTTAAAGACATTTTCAAGCCCCATTTATTTAAGGGGAGTTCTAAATTAGTATTTTCTTTCAAATGCCATTGGAATTTAACCTTTTCATTTTTGGGCCTGCAAAAGGGATATAGTACCTTTAAACAAAATAAGTAACAAAAAAAATGCTAATGGGTGACCCAAAAAGGTGACCTTACCCCCCCCCCCCCCCCATCGTAACGAAATGTCGATCGGTCAAATTTTCAAATTTCGGGACAAAAAAAAAAAAAAGTGCTCTTTGCGTTAGGCCCCCCCCCCCCCCCCCCCCAAAAAAAAAAAAATAATAATAATTGGTTGTCCTCGACCGCCCGCTCGTCATTTCCGGGCCGCTCGTATTTTTAATTCAATTTTTTATTTTATTAAATTTTTTTTTTTTTTTTGGGGGGGGGGGGGGGGGGGGGGGGGGGGAGCAATCTTAAATGCCGAACATACCATTTTATGCATTTGCAAGGATCAAAATGCGTCCCGTTGCCAGTTTTGTCTTTTCAGTACGCAATTAGGTATTTATTAAACTTGCTATTTTTATTTTTCTATGTCAAAATGCCGTTCATTCAAATCAGGTTCTGAGCATTCTTTAACTCATTTTAAGCCCATCTGTACTCGTTTAAAGGAGGGATTAGACCACCCTGCAAGGTCACTGGACAGGTGGTTATCTCATCAAATCAGCTCTAAGTTAATATAAGATAAAGAGGATCATGGGAGACCAATGGTCACCGATTAGGCATTGTTTGCTACATAGAGGGCGCAAGTAGCTATAAGTAGTACAATGGAGATTTAAAAGGTGCTGTATTTCAAAGCCCAAAATACTTTCTGTGTTGGTCTTGATATTCATTGTACATGTAACTAGTCTGTTACCATATTAAAGTGTTTTATAGACTCTGTTTGTTTAAATGCTTCAAAATCCCAATGATTTTTGTTTTTTATGGAAAAAAAATATTTAAAAAAAAAAAAAAATGGGGGGGGGGGGGGGGAAGAAAAAAAAAAAGAAAAAAAAAGACACACACAAAATGAAGTTAAAAAAAAAAATTAAAAAAAATCCGCCCGCCCGCCAAATTGATTTCTGTCAACGCATTATGAATGAACATTTAGCACAGAAATAAAATGTAAAGACAGCCCATGAAATCCGGACACGGATCAAGCCAAATACAATTTTGCATTTCGTATAGATACTATAAAGTCAGTATACGTATTACAACTCAAAACCTGTCACAATCATGTGAGGCAAACATGGTGATGTTGGATGCCGTTGAGTGGAAAGCCCCTTTTCATAATGAACATTCTCTATTTCTCCCACTCCTCCAACCGATTTGCATGGTATGTAACTGCACTCTGCACCTCATATCGTTACGTTTAATGCGTCAGTGGAGGGGTCAGCAATGGGCGGGGGGGGGGGGGGGGGGCGTGTGGCGGGGGCAATCCAAATATGCGAGTGGTAAGCTGGCAGCACGGAATGATACTTGTAATCAGGGGGGCCGGGGCACCAAAAAACATGGCACTTTCTGGTGAAAAGTGGCACCTACAAAGGGAAACCTCGAACTGAAAACATACTATTTGTAGACAGAGCATACACCCAAATTGTGATTATATTATCAGGGTTTTAGGACAATTACCCCCCCCCCCCCGAAATTTAGTAAAACCAACTTATTATCAGGGTGGACTTCCCCTTCAATGAATGAACAAGGGGGATGTAATATTCGGGGTAGCGGTATATGTTCTGGGAGGGAGGGGGGGGGGGGGTATTGCCCATGGGGGGGGGGGTGGGGGTTAATTTTCCAAGGAGTAATTTTTCGGGGGGGGGGGGGGAGGCATTGTTCTGAAACGCATTATCAGGGATGATTTAAATATTTGTTTTTCTCAGTCAGGTGTGGTGGTCCGAATATTCATATAGCCTAATAATAAGAAGAAAAGTGAGGTCTCAGTCAGTAGAATTACATCTTATAAAGAAGGAAAAAACAATCTTAATATGATTTTAAGCCATTTTCAACAGATGTGTAATCTTCATTGGAACCTTTGATTGTTAGTTAAAAAGCCATATTACCACCATCGTCTGTCCTATCCCCATTACGTTCCTATTAAACCCTTACACACAACGTCCATTAACCCTCAACTCCCAATTCCCAACCCCGTATACACCTATAAAATTAAAAACAGTTCCTGCATGATAATAAAAGATATTTATTCAGAATCTTATGGAAGTAAAATATTACAATCTATTAATGATAAGGAAAAACCGATCATTAGAAAAAATGCAAAAGATAAGGTCTTGCCGAGATTCGAACTCGGATTACAGGATTCAGAGTCCTGGGTGCTAACCGTTACACTACAAAACCTGGCTTGCAAACGATAGCGTTCACAGTGCTGATATAACATACATTGCATATTCGCATGTAAATTGTGCTATTGGCATATGAAAACATCCGATATTTCCGTCTTTATATTTAGATTGAATACAATTTGGGCATCAGTTTTCATTTTTCGAATAATGTTTTATCACAAATTATAACCTAAGTTATTTTCATCCAGAAACAATTACTCATAACCTTATTAGGTCATATGAGTTAGATATTGTTACTTCCTGGCCAATAAAATCACTCGCTTGTGATTCAATCATGCATATTCATAGGTGGGTGCACCAGCCGTATCTCTGCACTGCAATAACACATGTACAGTATTCGCAAGTTTTCAGTGTGTGTTGTTGTGAACATGGGCTTTGTAATGTGTGTGCCGCTGTAGAACAGACAAGATCAGAATTGTACGACAACCATATATTCAGTTTCAACTTTTTAAGAAGCTTTATCTTTTGCCTCTTACATACTCGGAAGTAGTCCCAAGCACCCATTTACATTTGGTTACTCTACGTCTACGGAATTCCCGAAAGTCGGTGAGTTACAGTCTGCTTTTTGCGAGTTAAGAACACTTTTTGACAGACTTACATATCGGAATATACTTGGTATAATCATCATCCTTCATTGCGCGCGCCCCATAGTGGCATAGGCTTACACGTCAAGATTTTTTACCACCACTTGTTCGAAAATAGTTTGTTTATTTTTTAACGCAATAACAGTGGGTGTGTCCCTCGCCAGAAACCTCGTCCGCATTATGTGGGTGCATTACTTCAAAACGTAGTCTTTGTCAAATATTTAATCCCGTATGGTGTATTTTGTGGTTGGTAATGGTATGACAAGTCTGCAAAGCAATTTGTCTGACGACTGTGACTCATTCATTCCTTGCCTTATTCACCCGGGCTGTTTCTTTGTAGTATACTGGCTCCCAATGTAAATTAATATTACTCATTTCACAAAACTCCCTCGTCCCCCTCGGCCCGCTAGCCCTCTCCGATTTGCAATGTGCAGGGGATTGCAATAATACCACCCAAAGTAATATTAAAACATTCTGAACTGTGCTGAATTTAGATTGCAGAGGACTAAAAACGGTGAATATATGTTACTTTTGTATACAATATAGCTATCTATCATTTAATTTCTGTTGCAAATTATCAATTTTACCCATGTCTGGATATGTTTTGATTTCAAAGTAATAATAGCAAAGTATTTTTTTTATTAAAACAACAACTAAACCCTAGATTAGCCCTTGTTAGTAGGCCTTAAGATTTTGTATATTTTTCCCTGATACTTCTTTGAGAGTGGTGGGGGAAATATATATTGCTGTACAACTACAAGCCACATAGGCCTATATCCTTGCTATTAGTATTAAATGTAGATTGGAACTGAAGACAACCACTTTGTAAATGTACTCCCACGCACTGTCCCACTTCACTGGAAACTGTAGTCTTGGCAAAGAACCCATTGTGGATTTGGATTAGACAACTGGCATTGTACGGATAGATCCTTATTGAAATGTCCTGAATTTTTCATTCAAATTTACTCCCCTTGAATTATATTTCCCTGTCAAAGTATAAGGCTTTGTGATGTAAATAATCATTATTATTGTTAGGTACTATAATAATAATTACAGTGCTTATATAGCGCCTAACACTTACTTTGTCAGAAGTCTCTAAGCGCTCTACAATAATGCAGCATAATTACCCCTGGCTTTAGCAGTGCAGCTGTTATGCGCGCTGCGTTTCAAGGAATAAATTCCTACCAGGTACCCATTTACTTCACCTGGGTGGAGTGTGGCAAATGTAGATGAATGTCTTGCCAAAGGACATTAGTGCAGCGGCGGGACTCGAACCATATATTTGTTCAATTTGTATCTCTTTGCGTGCACCATGCAGCCAATACGGATAACCTCTCAAAAGTATTCAAAAATTCTGTTGGGCCATCCCCTGATGTACTTACAACGCTTATTTTAGCTCCCTTTCAAGTTGCGCTTGATTTTGATCTCCACCACACAAGCCCTACCAAGAATCTTTTAATTTGTTATAATACAGTCAAACATCCTTAAGGGAGCACCCGTCTATAAAGACCACATTTTTTAGTTTCACTTGAACATTGTTTTTCATTGAAATGTGTAGTGAAGGAACCTGTCCATAAAGACCACCTGCCTATGGCTATGAAGACCCTTTTTCTTTTCTCATTTGAGCAGTCTATATGTATAACTGCATGAGTGGCCCCAATCTGAATAATATTGTGCCTGTGATTCTTCAGTGGACCAGTCTCTAGTAAATTGTCTCTTTTGAGTCAGAAGGATGTTAACTTGTACCCTTTAAGACAGAGTGAACACCCTTCTGCCTCTCAACAGACAGTATTTTCTTTGACTTTTGTCAATTTGTAAGTTACACATATCTTTTTGGCATTTCAAAACTTGAAAAGGCTTACACCACCTCCACTCAGTTTATAGTTTCTATATAAAACACAGATAAAAGTTGAGCTTGTTTTCAGTTACCAAACTGAATAGGTGAGAAAGAAATAAATCCCAGGTATGTTATGTTATTCCTTTCCTATAGGAACTACATTGTATGTTTTGTTTGGTGTTGGAATGCATGATACCCCCTCAGTGGTTCACTGATTCTGAATTGATCTTTGTCTTGTTCCATGCTGTGTGGACCAGAGAGCGAGAACCTATTATCCCCATCTCATTTATTCAGTAAAGCATTCTTCATAAGCTCTCAGATTTGGCGCAAGACCGAAACTACATGTACTTAGCAACACAGTCCATTTTGTTACATGATAAGCAACAGGTTTTTATCACTCATATACCTGTACAGGTTTACAGTGTATGTTTACATCTTAAGTAAATACTCATTGTATTTCCCTTTACTCATTAAATATCAATTTACAGATTTCTATGATTTCATTTCTGTCCAGAGAAAGACAAGAATCTTAAAAACCAACAACACAACTCCTTTATGTTTCTTGACAATACTTGTGGTATGGTAATTACAAAAAATAGAAAATCTTGTCATTGTCATTTTACCGATATCCATGTTATGATCACTGTCTCTTTATTTCATTTTACTAGCTTTCTCAAACAACTTTGTCTTACTCTATATACCCAACTAATGATCCATAGATCAAAATGTTATTCCTCTTACTGCGAGCTTGGAGCAGTCATGTTATAAAGCTCTATACAAATGATGTACTCTGTACAATTGATGTGAAATGGATCCAAACTTCTGCTTTGTGTGACTGTGCAGCTATTCTCTAGGGATTGTGCACCCGTTCCTGGAATGGAATAAATGGTTTACAATGTAAACCATTTATTCCATTGTAGTAGTTCTCTCCTTTCATGACTGTATTCATGCAAGGCCATTTTCCTTTGAGAAAAGTTGTGCATTCAATGTTGTCTGTCCAAGTCACAGTATCGGAGGGCTTCAACTCAAAGTCACACATGCCCCCCCCCCCCAAAAAAATGTTCATGCCTTATTCTTGTGCGAGACCTGTATTACAATCACTACTGTCTGAACGGCAGAATCAGAGGGTTGTACTAGTAATTCAAAGTCACCCCAACTACATATAAAATGATTAAAACATGTAAATTTATCCCCCCTTTTATATACCTTTCATGTATTACTGTATCCTCTTTAAATGAGACCAACTTGGCGCTCAATATTGTCAAGTTGGATGGCTTGGCCTCATCACCATGTGTCTCTTTTTTTCTCTCTTCCTAATTGCTGCCCCATGCATGCTTCTCTGACAAAAGTTTTGAATTTGCACTCCAATAGAAATGCAGTATCAGATCGTCCAGATCCCTTTTCTTTGACTATTCAGACATCTGTGAAATGAGTTTTACACTATATCGTCAGTATCAGAAGGCTTTACTTCTAAGTTACCCTGGGGCCCGTTCCTAGAAACCGTCATAAGTCTAACTTTTTGACTATCCCGTTGAAACGCGTGTTAATTCTATAACACACGTTTCATTGGGATAGTCAATAAGTTAGACTTATGACGATTTCTAGGAACGGGCCCCTGGGTCCCCACCCTCTCAACTTTTTTGACTATTCACGGCCCATTTTGTTTGAGAGAAGTTTCACACTTAGGACTGTCTGAGTTGCGGTATGAGAGGGCTTCAGCTCAAAGTCACAATGGGGTTATCCTTTATCTTTCCTGTAAATGTCTTGAAATGTCAAATAATAATGAGGAGACATCAATCTTAATTGTTTAATTGTAGTTATCCTTTGTCAATCCAGTCCTCCAGGAGAGTGAGTCATGGGAGTGCTAATGCACCACCTCTCAGACATCATTAGTCTAACAAAACAGACACAGTCATGTACAAAACATTTAGATCACACCCAGTAGTGATTGGTATCACAAACATAAATAAAGGTACTTTTTCCACTTTGAGTAGGGATTGGTAGGGTTTTAGAGGAGTGTAGACATCTCACAATAAAACATACATGTACCTTGGTTTCACGCCTGTTTAGAGTAGCATGGTTTTCCTATTGAGTCATGAAGCCTATTATGTATCTTAAAACGTATTGTCTGTTGACATCATTTCGATTCAGATGTAAAAGAAAGACCACGTCACTTAAACAACAATAGAAGTGTTGCACAGTTTAACTTCATTCAAAATGATGTGATTTGAATGTATTCAAATTTCAAAAGATTATGATAATATCAATCTGTTTGCATAGATTAGGTATACTACTTGAACAGTACAAGGATATAATACACACACACACACAAATCTATTCTTGATATAGTCCAAATTTATTGATTCATGTTTTTACAATGTCAAATATGTTTATCAACAGGATAAAGGCCTACACATCTATTTGGATTTGTACATATTTAGTAGAGTACATACATTCAATACAAGAGACTAAAGGAATAATATTCTAGTTTGAAATATTTGCACCCACATACTCCTCTGAGATGATAAACATTTACTTACCCCACCCACAATGTTACCATGGCAACATGGCTGTGGGCACTGAAAATGAAAGGCAATACTTTTGGAGTGACACTGTCAGAGTGCAAATCAAATACCAACCTTATTGACATATGATTATGATCTGCTACAAAACTGGTTTAATATCCACTTAAGTTGGCATTGTTCAGAACTTAATGTAGTGTACCAGTAAGCTTTGTTATATTATGGGAAATACATACAGTACATATAATATTAATCTGTGTGAACATACAATATGAATAAAACCACTGTTCACTATTGGGATTTCCCCTCGGGTATAGACCTCAAAATAGCTCTGATTTAAACTTGGCTCAAACAAACACTCTAATGATGTGTATGAAAATATAAAATAGTGTCGTTTTTTATTTCATATTTGTCCTTTTCACCATGTCAGGTCAAATGTGGTACAAGTAGGCACTTCAGGAATTGCCTAGCTAATTATGGTACATGCATGTACTAGTATTTTCAGAACAAAAAAAAAATGTCACCATCATTTTGCATCATACATATACTCTTGTGAGTGTAGTTTGAATCGTATTGTATATATCTAGTTTGATTGATTAATTG